GCCCGGCCCGGCCCGGTCGGTGATAAGGGCGCGAGAGTGAATCTGCCTCTCCACTTGACGCCTCCGGGTGCCCCGCTGGGGTCCCCCTCCCGACAAACACTCGCGGCAGCTTGACCGACTTTCCTTTCCTCCGTCTCTGTCGCTCTCTGTCGCTCTCGCTCGCTCTCTGTCGCTCTCGCTCGCTCTCGCGCGCTCCTATCGCCCCGGCCCGGCCCCGGAAGGCTATCGGGCTCTTTTGGGATGTGGGAAATGCACTGCGAGGCGGGTGACGTGACGACGCGCCGCCCGCCGCATGCGCGTCGCCGCCCATTCAGAAGTGGCGTGGCCTGGCGGCGAGCCTGGCGGTCAACACCGAGAGGACCACGAGGCCCTGGCCCCGGCCGGGCGCCGCCCAGCCCCGGCCGATAAGGCCCGTGAGTCACGGCCGCCCGCCGCACCTGCACGCCCAACCGCCCCAACGGCCCCAACGGCCTCGGACACCAACAATAACAAGATCCACGCCGACAGCAGTGATCCGTGATCCCCTTATTTAAGAGCCCCGCGCAGCTCGCGCACGTGGAAAAGCTGAAAACGATTTAGAGAGCGCTCTTCTTTGCTGCGTCGAAACAATACTGTTGCTAGGCAACCCTCTCCGCGCAAACGACATGCCCCGTGTCCCGTGGAGTTTCCTCAGTAGTCGGGCAGCTGTGCACCTCCCCGCCGCTCCCGTCGGGCCAAAGCCTTTCCGAACGTCATTAGCCTAATGGCATGGTGCTCAGTGCTCAGGTGCGGCCAACTCACCCGAAACGGCAGGGCGGAGGCTGGAGGGCCGGAGGGGGCAGCGCAGCGCACAGCTCCAGGATAGGGGGCGGGGAGCGGATACACCTTCCTGGTGTTCCCGTTCAACTACATGACTGCTACCCGGTCGCTCTTGACACACAGCGAGCGCCCCTTCCGCTTTAAGCGACCCAGATCCCATCTCCCTTTCTCTCTCTCTCTCTCTCTCTCTCTCCCGCAAACACTCACACACGCACGAACAGGCACGCACACAGAAGCTCGCGGTCCACGAGGCGAGCGTGGGCGGATAGCTCCGAGCTCCCGGGCTCAGGGCTCGGTGCGGCGGGCGGTAGCGGGACGTGCCCTGCAGCAGAGAGGGGCAGAGTTGCGAGCTGAACCACCCATCCATCCATATCCATCCATCCATCTCCATCCATCCATATCCATTCATATCCACCCATCCTCCATCCATCTCTATTCATCCATATCTATCCATCGATATCTATCCATCCATATCTATCCATCCATATCCATCCATCGATATCTATCCATCCATATCTATTTATCCATATCCATCCATATCCATCCATATCCATCCACATCCATCCATATCCATCCATATCCATCCATCTCCATCCATATCCATCCACATCCATCCATATCCATCCATATCAATCCATATCCATCCATATCCATCCATATCCATCCATATCCATCCATATCCGTCCATATCCATCCATATCCATCCATATCCATCCATATCCATCCATATCCATCCATATCCATCCATATCCGTCCATATCCATCCATATCCATCCATTCATCCATCCGTCCATCCCTCTCCAGCCAGCCCGTCGGACGACACGCCGGGTAATAAGCGCGGCTGCTGGCGCGTCGGGCTGGAGTGGAGAGTTCCGCGAGGATCCATCATCACTCAGCGGTGCGGTACTGCAGTCGTCAGCGTGGAGAAGAGGAGTTCCATGGATCCATCCCCGCGTACATCAGGCGCGTCATGCTCCCTCAATCGCCCAAGGCCACGCAGGAGGAGGCAACAGAGTGGGCGGGACGGGTAGATGGATGAGGCGGAGGGATGCGGGCGCGAAAGGTAGGATCTCGGGGCCGGCCGAGGCGCCCGCGGGCGGACGCTTAGGCCGCCCCGTTGTGCGCCGGAGCGCGCTGGGCTGCCTACCCCCCCGGCGCTCCGCTCCGCTGCCGCCGCCGCCGGGTCAGGGCCGCCGGCACCAGAGAGCCGGCACCGGCAGCCACCCATTCATTTCATTTCGCGCGCCCAGCTCCGCCTCTCTCTCCACCACGCTGATGAATGGCAACCAGTGCGATTCATTACCGAATCACCACAACGGAAAATCCCATGGATAATACGGTGCTCTAGCCCAGCCCAGCCGCCCACCCGAGGGCATCACGCACTGATTGGAACTATGTCGTAATTGGACCGAAAATGTCCTGTTAATTTTTCTACACAAACTCTTCGTTATTCTAAAGTAACGAATACATTCGTAAAATGACGAACAGGTTGTCCTAAACGAACGACAAATTTTGAAACAAACATTCTAACATCCTGAACAAGTGACACCATTGTTACGAATAGTTCGTTTTGTGCTGCTACGAACAGTTAGTAACCGAAATTTACGTATAATACTCGTTAATTTCAATTACGAACTATTCGTTTAGATTATTATCGTGTGACGAAGGTCATTAACAGTGCGGTATTTCTTCCACTGATTTTGGCCATGGCACGCTTTCTATCCTTCTCTTTCGTTCTCTCTCTCTGCCTCCCACCCATTTTCTTTTCCTCCATCTCCCTCGCAGTACGTATACCACGCAGTCGAGTGCCGCTGCGGGGGCGGGCGCGGCGCAACATGTACAGCGAGAGCGCGGGGGGAGGTCGTAAAGGCGTGTCTGAGCGCGACACAGGGGTAGCCGCGCGTAGCCGTGCACCCCCGCGGCGGGGCGGGGCAGGGCGGGGCGGGGCGTGCATCTGGGCCAAGGCGAGGCCATGGCTGCGAGATAAACCCCCCGCGGCGGGTGGGGGCGGGCGGGGTCGGCTGGAGGCGGGAGGCGCATTAGCCCTCTCCGGCGCTGGCGTTGATTACCACCTTCCTTCCGCCTCCCCCTAGCAGTCCGGCATCACGGTGCGACAACTTACCAGAGTCGACGGCCTCCTCGGTGTGCGCGCGGTTCAGGTTGGACTTGCGCTTGTGGCTCTTGTCCTTCTCCGGCGCACCGGGCGACGCCGACAGCGACGAAGACTGGGACTTTCGGGGACTCAGGCGCTGCCGATGGACAAAGAGGGGCGTCAGATTGGTCAAGGATGGCACAGGGGGTGGCACAACCGTGTTGGCATTGTCACCTCCCCGACGCTGCTCACTCACCTCCGTGCCGTTGTGGCGAGCGCCGGCGTTGTCGGGCCCCAGCAGCAGCGCCGCGGACGGAGA